TTATATTGTAAATTTTGGAAGATGATGATGATGAGGTGTATTAGCGACCAACACGAGATTTGCCACATGTAACGGTTTAAAGCCACGTGGCAATATGGGTGGACTCTAGAGAGACGCGAAGGCTCGCCTCTTCCGAATCGCAAGAATCGAGCTGTCCACGTGTCTTACTTCCATTCCAGGTGAATTTTTGTTGACAAAACATAAGTAGTATTTTCACACTCGTTTTTTGAAATTTTAGCAAGAACAGTAATTTGTAGGAACCCAATAATATTACATTTGATGTATAAAAATATTTTAATGTGGACCGACCACACAATAGAGGCCCACTCCAGTTATAAAATTTCCTTTTTAATTGCGTAGTTTATAGAATTAATAAAGTTTTGCTTCTTAAAAATCAAATAATTTAAGTATACCGATTAATAACTAAGTAGCTTTCACCATATTTAGATTAATAAATTAAAATTTTGGAAAAGATTGTATTACCATTGTTTTTAGTAATCTTGAGACTATTGACATGTTTTCAGGTTACATGTACCAAATTATATTGGTCTTTACATATTTTTTTTCTAAAGATTTTCATTTATAATTGTTCATGTGAGTTATCAAAATTCAAAATGATGATGTTGGTTATCACTACATCATCGTTTTGATAACTTCCTTAACTGCACAGCCTCTCTTGGTGATGATGATGAGTTTTCTAAGAAGGATACTACCAACAAGACCATCTCTTAATCCCTCTTTTTTTTTTTTCCGACAAACTCTAAATGAAATATCCTCTCAACAAGATACTATCCTAAGTCCCAATGATACTTGAAATGAAATGTTTGCTTCTTACTTTGCTTCTTGGTCTAGAAGTCACCAAAGCGCCATCAAAATCTGCTCAACACCTCAATAAATCTGCTCAACGGCTTTGGGATTTATCAAAATTCAAAATTGGTTTTCGACTTTGCTCCGAGGAAGATGAAGTGAGAATAAGAAGAGTGCTGCTTATGGCTTATTATTCTCCAACAGTTTGCAAAACCGTGAAATGCAAGGCACTTACTACATTTGTTACACTGTTTTGCTTTTCTGTATGTATCACACCTTGTACAATAATTTAACAATGCTTCCTTGCAAACATTTGTTCAAGCTCTTCGTTATAATCCGTAACTAAATAAATCACGGTATGATTTACATCACTCTGCTCATAAAATAGTACAAACATGTTTAGGTTGACGATGAATCTGAGCTCTTTTCAATGACTTCTTCCTTGGCAACAACAGCTTCTTCTCCTTGGAGCTTCTCTTTCCAGTACTGATCAAGCGGAGGCCCGAAAATAGCTTTCCCTGAAACCACACCAATCCTGCAACCAAAACAAACCTATTCAGATTGCTTCACTCTACTAACGAATGAATCAGACATTTGACAAATTTCAGGAGATTATACCATTTGTGCTAAAGTAATGATTTTTTCTACTTGCTTTTCAGAAAATTTCAATTCCAATCCTCAAAAAATCTACCTCAGTGACTGTTTAAAATCAAGTTGGAAACAGAGTAATCTACCATTTTCTATTTCAATATCATCCAATAAGAAAAAGAATCTACCAGATCTTGGGGAAACCATAATCGTAGTATTCAAGATTCAGACTTTGGGCCTAATTAAGATAAAACGACTACTTACACAACTGCTCCGATCACCATTGGCAAAGACAGAAACCTGTTCCTTCGAAACATTTTGCAAGATTTATAACTGTCTCCGCCGATCAATATCAATCTCCGGTCGCCGTCGCTCTAGCTCTTCTTCCGGGCACGACGAATTTTAGACCTTATAAGTAAGGGTTTTCCAGAACAGAGTTTACTTTTATATGGGCTTGGCCCAAAGTAACATTTTGGCCCATCAAAAAGCCTTTCTTCTTTTTGTCAACGGCCTTACACACGAGGATAAAGAAAAGAGAAACGGACCATAAATAATAATTGTCACCGACTTCTCTCTCACCGTCTTTTTCTTTTTCTCCATTTAAAACTTGTGATCTGATTTTGACCCTTTCCAAAACTCTATGGCAATAGTTAGGTTTCTCCTAATTTTGTTATTATTATTGAATAAATTGGTAAGACAAGTATAATGCGTATGAATTATGTAAATTTTATTAATCAAACTAATTCTTTATTGATGTTGAGTACTATTTCATGGTAAACTATATGTGTGTATGTTATTGAACGAGGAAGTTATTGAGAAGTTTGTAGTTATACTTTTAACATCCACACATAAATCGCGAAGCATATATGTCTCTATATACATTTATAGATGTGGGTGTGTCATTATTTGATAGGTGTGTGTTTTTATTATCTTCAATGCGTATGTGGTGTGATCGATGAGAAACTGATGCTGTCAAATGAGGGATTTAATTTACACAAAACAAATAAAGTCAGCTTCTTTCATTTAAGACTAAAACGAGATGAGAGGTTGTTTGTTTGACAAAAAAAAAAAGAAAAAAGATTTAGATGAGATTAATTAGCTTGTGTGGTCTGCAAGAAGACACTAAAACTTAGTTCAATAATTGAATAATCTTATACGCGTATGTATATTCAGATTAAGTGACAAGTATATAAATGTGAAGTACTCTTGGTTAATAATTAAGAAAGTACAAAGTGCAACAATATTAAGAAGCTAAATATATGGATATAAGAAAAACATCATATATATATATGTGGATATATATACTGATTACTAATCCAAGTATCCAACAATAATAAGAAGCTAATTGATCATTTAGGGATTGTGGTTTTGAGTGTAGATGTAATCAGTGTGAGCAACTAAAGTTCTTCGTATCAAGAAGCATTCTTCTTCTCCAACACCTTCACAGTTTTCCTCTCCTTGTTCTATTTTCTGCGCATAAGAAAAATTTACACGCACGTGACTAAATTGTTAATCTCGATAATGATTCTTTTTCTTTTATGGTAATCAGACAATTAATCTTTAGCTGAAACCATATATTCTAGTCTTTAATTTCAGGAAAATTGTACATCCTTGTTATTTAAAGGCTTAAAGCCTTTTCGATCATGTTTCCTAGCTAATTCACGTAATAGAACAAATGATATGTGTACACATATACTGATGATATACACCATGAGCATGAGGTTAATACCTTGAAGGAGTTTTCTTCTGGATAAACGGATGTTGGATTTAGCCGAGCTGATGCGTGTGTTAGCGTGGAGCAAAGAAGAAGAGCGATGATGCAGAAGAAAGCTGTGAACTTAACCATTCTTTTATATGACTACTTATGATACAATTCTTTTTATAACTATGAGACAGAGATCAATTATATTGAGAAATATCAATAAAGATGAAGAGGAAGTTATGAAATAGAGGCGTATTTATAGAGAAAAGGAGAGATGAGATGAGATAAAAGTTTCTGCAGAAACGTGAGCCATATAATCTTGAGTTTGAGTAAGTGAACATCATGAAGCCATTACCATACCGAACACGCACATGCATATTATTATTTATAAAATTCGCTAATTGAGTTTTTGTATATACTTATTTAATGTCGACAAGAAAAAAAAAATATCCAATGAGTGTTCTTCGTTGGTTAATCAGTCTGTTTTGGTGAAATTAATTGATCAATATGGAGTCAACTATATTTTTAACGTTTTTGCTACTTGCATTCATAGATCTTGTTCATATAATAAATTTTTATCTTAATGTTGAAAAGAAAGTTGGTGACGGATGTATCCGTATACTGAGATTCACCCAATTATTCTCACGTGAAGTTAACTGCAGAATTTTGATGTTATACACTCTATTGTAACCAAAATATATATTTTATTTTTCTCAGTTCTCTGGTTAAGTGAATTAATATATGTGACTTTTTATGTTGTTCACTATTTTTTTCGTTTATTAAGTTTATGATTATATATGTATACTGTGAAAGGAGATAGATAGAGTACTGTTTCTATTTGACGTTTTCATCTCTGTCTGTATTATTTCATCATATACAGTTTATAGTGTTATGCAATCATGTTCACTTTTTAAAAGATGGTTGATATGATAATTAAGAAGGGTCCATCGTAATGAAAATAACATTCTGCAGAAAAAGAAACAAAAAGTCTGGTCAATAAAAGAGGGAAAAAGGGCTCCGCAAGCAAGATTCGTTTCAAACATGGAAATTATTTAGTTCTATCTACTACACACGTACGGCATTTCATATGCTTCAATTTCAATTGTTTTGTTTTCTATTTGTATCTTGGAAGTCAAGATCAAGATTAATCATCAGTGGACTCTATACAACTTGGGCCTATATTCTACTCTATTATCTGATTTAGGGTTTGGCCCATTACTGAACAGCTTGGGGTTTCATTTTCTGTGTGGGTGTTCAAGTTCTTGTTATTCACTGTAATGTCACGAGCAACTTGGAAAGTTCTAATTATTTTCAAATCATGAAAAATGTTGATATCAGGAAAGATTTAGTCTTTCAACTAGGTTTTACTTACAAATTCGAATCCAATACTGGTCGAAAGAGCTGTGATATCATAGTGATATCAAAGGAAATCAAGTGAAAAACGTAATCAGGATCGACCATAATCATTTACAGTGTTAGTGTCCAGTTTTTTTTTTTTTTTTTTTTTTTTTTTGTCACATGTCAAAGTGTCCAGTTTATTATATTGTTTTGGAGAAGAATCAAGAAAAAGACTAGAGGATAAAACGTAGAGTGAGCCTTCCACAGTATATTACAACTCTGAACTGATAAAGGCCCAATAATACAGGCCCATTTATGTAACAGGTCGAATAATTATAAGCCCATAAAAAGTTCAATGAAACCCTAGCTCTAGACTACCACCGTCGGGTATATATTGACGCTAAACACATGTTCTTACAAACCTACACTAAACACTGCAACACAGATATTCAAAGCAACGCCTCTTTTACTCTTTTTCATCGAGTTATTATAAAAATTTCTTCCTTGGTTCGTTTTAATTTTCTTCTTGATTTACGTTATTGTATTTGCCAAAATTTGATGGGAGAAGAGAGCGATGATTATAAAAAAACAAGATTAAAATTCTGATCTGCTCTATTACTGGGCATGATAGACTCATATACACCCATAGAATATGAGCTCTCTTCTCAATCATCTATTTTTGTTTTCCAAAAGACTTTATCAATAAGCATTGTCTGGATTAATTGAACAACTTGTAATTTTATCATATTAGTTTCGTAATTGAACATCTCAAGAATTTCAATTGGATTAATAAATTTTAGGTTTTGTTGATGATAAAAACAACTTAAGACAAGTGGTAAAATTTTCCGTAACCAGAACAAGGCTAATAAATAAGTGGACATATCTCTGTGACGGTTTGACCTATCATATGAATAACCTGTAACTTATTTTTCTTGCAATGGACTTTTAAATAAGAACTAGAATAAGACCAAGACTATCTTCACTTGGTTGCGTTGTTAATAAGATGTTAAAACGAAGTTTATGTATAAAAAAATTGACAGAACATAACTACATTTCAAACTCCAAACTTACGAAAACACACAAGTTTTTTCTGGAATCTTTCAAGTTTTATTTGAAGTTTCGGAAGAACTAAATTGGGGTTTTATCTAGTGGTAGACAAAAAGGAAAAAGATGAGTACATTTTATTGGGCAATGTGTTAACTAATAAAGTTTCTAGATATAGGCCCATAGAAAAACCAACTTATATAAACTGTAAGCCCATAAAGGCCCAAATAAACCCTAATTTTAAATCCACCGACACATGTATAAATGCCAAGCCGTTTCATATACGTCTCCACTCTGCAACTCAGGTAAAAGACTCTTGCTCCTATTATCTCATGTTCCATTGTTTTGTTGATTTCAATTTGAAATATTAGTTTCTTTCTTCTTCCCTTCATTCCTTCAACTTTTATACCATTTTCCTGTTATCTATTGATTTGAAAGTTTTAATTTTTAAGAGGCGGTGATGACAAAAAACATTTCTCGATGCTGAAACTTACTCGAGAGACCAAATCACTCTTGTAATCTTTCGTGATGCTTGTTTTTATGCGTGTCTGAGCCTAAACCAAAAAATCTTTCATTTATGCTTTGATTATCATAGATCCCAATTTATGCGTTTCTTTTATTGCTTTTCAATTTGTAATGCGAGTTTTGCTTTATTTTGTCCAGCCATGGAAGAAGCAGATCAGTTATGTTTAGCTGCTAAATCCGGCGACTTGAAAAAGGTTCAAACTTTAATTTACTCCGGCGCCGACGTTACTCACTTTGATAACGACGGTTTAACGCCGTTAATGCACGCCGCTAAAATCGGAAACGCAGAGATAGTAACGGCGTTACTCGAATCCGGAGCTCCATGGAACGCATTATCTCCATCAAATCTCTCAGCAGGAGATTTCGCCATGGAAGCAGGACATCAAGAAACTTTCGATCTTCTTCTCAAAACCGGGATCCAATCAGAGCTAATCTTAGGAACAATCGCAAGAAACCAAACAAAGAACGAATACTCTAATCAGGAGTATCTTCAAGATAGAGTTAGTTTCAGTGAAGACAAGTTAATGGATAGTGAAAGCAAAGGTGTGATGATGGCTTGGGAAAAACCCTTAATGGAAGCTCACGCTAAAGCTATTTGTCTCAACGGTGGTCACATTCTTAACGTTGGTTTCGGTATGGGACTTGTCGATACAGCGATTCAACGATACAATCCGGTTAAACACACGATCATTGAAGCTCATCCTGAAGTTTATAAGCGTATGATTGAATCTGGTTGGGGAGAGAAAGAGAATGTGAAGATTGTTTTTGGAAGATGGCAAGATGTTCTTGATAAGCTTGATGATAATTCTTTTGATGGGATCTTTTTTGATACTTATGGTGAGTATTATGAAGATTTAAGAGAGTTTCATCAGCATCTTCCGAGGCTGTTGAAGCCTGATGGTGTTTATTCGTATTTCAATGGGTTTTGTGGAAGCAACGCCTTTTTTCATGTTGTGTATTGCAATTTGGTGACTTTGGAGATTGAGAATTTAGGGTTTAGCACTCAGTTGATTCCATTGCCGGTTAAGGATTGTCTTGGGGATGAAGTTTGGGAAGGTGTCAAGCAAAAGTATTGGCAGCTTGATACTTATTATCTCCCTGTTTGTCAGTTTAGTGACTGAAGAAGTTTTATGAAATCCAGCAATTTTGCGATATTGTAATTTTTCTTACTCATAAAAAGTAGATTTTTTATCCATTTGAAAATAGTCGTAGTCATCCAATAAGAAGAAAAGAACAGTAATAAGATCCTATAGTCATGTGATACATTCCAAGAGCCAGACTAATTCTGTTACAAATATTCTCAAGAAACAAAAAAGTACTAATTCAAAACATGTTATGCAGAAGCTTCACGTTTTCTACATGGTCTAAATATGTGAAGACTAAGGGTTTGATTGGTTCTCCCTCTACCACCCGCAAACGCAGCGGTAGCGGTTGTTAGCGATTGACACCAATCATAGAAACCGCTAGATATCGCTTTAGACCGCTCGAAATCGCCAGTTTTCAAAAGCTCCTTCCCGCAAGCGTTTGCGGTTGCGGGCGGTACCGGTTAGGTAAAAAAATAATCTTTTTTAATTAATTAAAATAATTGTGGTTTCCACCCAAACCCTAATCACTATAATTAAAATAATCTAATCTATTATATATCTTATTTTTATTAGAAAACCCTAATCAATATATTGTAACCCTATTCTCTCAATTATGACATCCGATCAAAATCAAAAATCAAACATAAGTATCATCTATCCTTTTATTCATTCATTAGCTACTCTAATTCTTTAACTATTTCATGGCATCGTTGTTTATATTTTATTTTGTATTCTTTTGAGTTTTTTGATTGTATACATTTTTCGATTTGTTTTCTCAATTAAAAAATTATTTGGCCGGACGAGATGATATATTGTATTTTTGTTTGGTCAGAAAATCAATTTTTCTAATATTATCAATTTATTATAGTATATTGTATTTTTTTATTTCATTTAATAGTAATATATTATATTTATTTTTGTTATTTTTATTTAATAACTATCGCACCCGCTGGTTTACCAGTCATAAAACTCCCGCAAACGCACCCATTATCAAACGTTCAACCAGTCGTTTAAAACGCTTGATAACGCTTGAAACCGCAACCACCCGTTTTCGCAAACTCCCGCAACCGCAACCGCACCCGCTGCGTTTAAACCAGTCAGGCCCTAAGTGACCCTGAAACGCTTCCATTCCTTGTATTGCAACGCTCATCATCGTCTTTCTCTCAATATTGAAGTAGTAGACGTCGAAAGGCACTGTTTGATAGCACGGCGACAACATAATCTCATTTGTACGAGTCACTCCAACAAAGCGTAAATTCAGGGTTCCAATCCTATGCTGCCACCAAGCGGGTAATACGTACGTATGCTTCGACCATTCCTTCTTTTCAGCATCTTGTAGAACCCACAACTCAATACTCTTACTACGTCCATCAACAAAGCAATATCTTTCAGAAACAAGTGAAGCTAATTTACCATTGTAGTTTATAAGAGTTCCATCATGCGCTGCTTTAATGAACTCTTCCATGACTGTAATAAATCTAAACTTCTCTGACCTAACATCGAAGCAAACGATAATGTAATCCCCTGAAGACAAATTGATCGCTGGATAATACAACACACCATTGATGCATATCTCAGACATTCCAAGAATGTGAGGTATGGAACATTCGATGATTCTCCATGACAGTTCTCCAGTTCCTAGTGTCAGAACTTGATGCTCATCACTTTTATATGACAACAATACCTTGAACTGTTTCTGAATCGGTTCATACACGAAAAATCTTGACGGCCCAATACTCGTCTTCATTGGTTTAGGTAAGCTTAAGGTATGTCCAGTGCTGGGATTACATATCACTGTCACTGTTTCGTTCATTTCCTTACGTTTAAAACAGATCAAGCCATTGACAGGACGCGAAATTTTATAGCATAAGGAGAAATTCTTTAGAGAAATGGCGGACGAGTTCTCATATGGACTTTGAAGCTGAGGAGACGAGAAGAAGAACAAGTTACCATCTTTTATGCAGGAGAATAAGAGTTGCGGTCGATGCAAAGATCTGGTCAAGAACAGCTCTGTGAAATCTTGACGGCAAATTACGGAGATCCAGAGGTTCGACACGCAACGACATGTCGCTATAGATTTCGCCGGTAATCTCAGGAGTATCTCGATGATGATATCAACTGGGATCTGGACTGACTTTTCTGTTTTATTCGGTGAGGTCTTCTTCTCCGTTCTACGCCGGGAGATGGTAAGAAGATTCTCCGTAACATTTCTCCGCAGTGTTCTCATGGCGGATACGCCGACGGTTAAAACCCTAGAGACTGAGAGTTTATGGGGAAGACGAACCAATTTGGATGAGAAAATCGAAAGCAATTTTCGTAATTTTGTTTTAATGGACTTGGATTTGAATTGGGCTTTCAAAATAAATATGGGCTTTTAACTAAAAACGACGCCGGATACATTCTCGGTCCATTATTCGCCACGTGTTTAATTTCTAGATGCTCTTGTTCTTATTCTTCTCGTCTTCTCCATAAGCCAAATTGAGTTTATGATTTTGGTTTCTGAATCACCAATGGCGATTCTCTCTCTACGATCTTCGAGCTCATTGCCACTTATTTGTTCCACAATTTCTCCTCTGTGCTCGAAACCCATGTTGTCTCAGTTACCATCGAATTTCTCATCGTCGATTGCTGCTGTTCCTGTCACCAAATTAAAATCCAGTTACAGTTCCTCCGTTTCACCGATTAGTAGGCCTCGTGTGGTTGCCGCGAGAGCTGCCACTGAGTCCTTCACTGATTACAGAGAAGATATCGGTGAGATTCTCGGCGATGTCTCTATCTTTACTGCTTCAGGCCAACGCCTGCAATTCAGTGATCTCTGGGATCAGAAAGATGTATGTTAGGATGCTTATGAAGAACGAATTCTTTTCATTATTTTGGGATATTATTGTTTGAATAGTGTTTTTTTTTGGACACAGGGAATTGCTGCCGTTGTACTCTTGAGGCATTTCGGATGCGTTTGCTGGTAAATTGATTCATTCATAAACACTTGGAATTGTTGCAAAATCAAG